CGATAACTCCATTCGATCCTATTTTCATAACACTAGCTATGTGAAAACAGATTCAAATTGCTGTAGTCACATCTTAGCTATTTGAAGAAAATGCCAAAGTCATGTCATGTGAGATAAGCCTGTTGCCATAATTCTACACAAATATACTAGCCAAGAAGTACCCATATCTTCGGGTCGTCGTGACGATAGGATGATAACCATCATCCAGAAGACTTTGTTTAAAACATTTGAATCATAATCTGTTACAGAATAGGATTGAATAGGGATTTATAAGAACAAGAGAAAAAACAAATGACAAGAAAATAAAATAGCACACACACAAACGAGGTAAGGATTTACATGGTTCGGCTGTGCCTACGTCTATAGGGAGAAGACAAAATAATATTTTAATATGCAAAAAAAAAAGATACAAGGCTAAGTGGCTCATATCCAAAACCCAATTACATCCAAGCTCATTTTCGCTTTACTGTATTAAGTAAACACTCTCAATTTTTGGATGCCTTAGATGCATGAGATACATGGCTATTTATAGCCAAAGGATACCAATATATGCTTGCTGAACAAGCATTTATCTTGCTGATCACACATGGGCCGGACTGCTTGGTGACAACGCATAGTTGGGAAAGCTTGTTGATCACAATTCTTGGAGGCCAAGTTGATGATGCAGAAAATGATGTAATGGGTGATGAAATAAATTTGCTGAGTTGGCAGAATTAGAGCCATAAGTTCAACAAATCTCTACCTTGGCAAAAATTCGAATGAGTCATTATATCTCTGTCAAACAAACTGTCTTCTCCACTAAGCCCCTAAGGGCAATTTCAGCATTTGAGAATACCAACCAAGTCCAAGCAATGCTTGAACTTGAGAGCCGGAATGGACTTTGTCATCATATCAGCTGGATTTTCAGCTGTGCCAATTTTTTTCAATATAGTAATTCCTTCTGATATGACATCCCGAATAAAATGATATCTGACATCAATGTGTTTGGTTCTCTCGTGATACATTTGATTTTTGGTCAAATATATTACACTCTGACTGTCACAATAAATAACAGTTGAGGTCTGCTGCAAACCCAAAACACTAATCAAACCTCTCAACCAAATGGCTTCCTTCACTGCTTCAGTGGCCGCTATATATTCTGCTTCTATAGTAGAGAGAGCAACTGTGGATTGCAAAGTTGCTTTCCAACTAACTGCACAACCTGAGAGAGTAAAGACATTTCCTGTCAGAGATCTTCTTCTGTCTAAATCACCAGCATAGTCAGAGTCCACAAAACCAACAACAGTGCCAAAATCATCACTGCTCTTCTGATAAACTAAGCCAATATCTGCAGTACCTTTCAAATACAGAAGAATCTACTTCACGGCTAGCCAATGCTCTTTTCTTGGATTATCTATATATCTGCTGACTACACTGACTGCATGTGAAATATCAGGGCGAGTGCAAACCATTGCATACACTAAGTTACCAACTGCACTAGCATAAGGAGCACATGACATGTGCTATTTCTCCTCTTCGGATTGCGGTGATAAAGCTGCAGAAAGACGAAAATGAGCAACAAGTTATGATACCCCTCGACTCCGAGACATGGGTTGATCAGGCCCAAGCCTAAACCTAGGGATATCAAACAATTAAGTAATAAACAAGCATTGAATACAAAAGATAAATAACTAAGAATAAATACAAGATCGGAAAGAGAAACTAAATAATAAATCCTTAAGTTAAATAATAGATACTCCTCCAAATGAAAAAAATATCCAACACCTTTGATATCATTACAACTCGGGAATCCATCAAGTGGATCCCTAATAATATCCCACCTAGAAATAAAACTGAAAAGAAGATAACATAGATAGAGCCCTACATCAGGTCGGTAGAGTGATGATAACTGTCTCTGCTTAGCACGATCAAGCTCTAAGACTGGAACTGTCGAACACTTGAAAAATAATAGTGGGTCAGGCCCACGAATAAGTTCTACTCTACTATAATCCAAGCAGAGACTCGATACACGTATACACCCAGTCAACTTAACAATAACTAAATAGTCCACACATATATATATATATATATATATATATATATATATATAGATACACACCAATGGGTTACCATTGGAATATAGGGCGGACTCAACCTGAATAAAAAGTAACATGGAAAATGCACATGTAGTGGGCATGAATACCTAAACCTACATAATAGGCGATTAGGGTTGTTTTGGTTCTCCTGTTCACGTGAAGGTGGCAACCACCATGGAGGAGGCCCAAACCTTCTCCTTATAGCCGGCAATTGCTCTTAGTCGGAATTCATCTCCTATACGTCCTACATATAGTAGTTTCTTTAAAGATTCAACATCCTCGTCATTTAAAAACTTGAAATATCATAAGGAATGTCGTGGGAAGAAGGTTTCAATCACTGAAGCAGATGTGGCGGATGAAGTTGCATATTAGAAATCGTATGTGGTTGGATATGTTATGGGAAAGAAGCCCTATTATCCATACTTCAAAGCATTTATGGCGAAATACTAGGCTAAAGATTTCATGTGGTTTATTTGAAAGATGGGTTTTTCATGGTGAGATTTCCTAATGAAAGTGACATACAAACTGTGTTATCTAGAATACACATGTTCGAAGGCCGCCCAATCATTTTTAAAAAATGGGATAAAAATGTTAATCTAGTGAAAGAAGTGATGGAAACAATTTCGGTGTGGCTTCAAATTTTTGACTTACCTGTTCATTGCCGAAATGAAAGTTCTATATCCAAACTTTGTTCCTCGTTTGCCAATCCAATTTATATGGATGATCCTGAGAATCATAGAGAGAAGGGATAATTTGTTAGGGTAATGGTTGAAGTGGAGGTCAAGGAGGAATTACCTAAGTCCATGGTCATTGATATACATGGCTGTGATTGTACAGCAGGTCTCGAATATGAATGGAAGCCTACATTATGTGGGATACATATGTAAACGAATTGATCATACTGAAGCACAATGCCCACAAAAGGTGTACAGGTGTTGCAGGTTAAACCAAAGAAGAAGACTGAACAATGGGTTGTTAAACAGAAGGGTAAGATGGTGGAGTTAAAGGGTGTAGACCAAATGGTTGATAATATTACTAGCAGAGAAATACAGAGTAACCCAACCAAGGAAACGACTACATCGAATAGTTTTGTTATGCTTAAAAATATAGAAGCAGATGTGAAAAATGGGGTGGCTATGGAAGACAGTAGTCATAATGTGAAGGTTGAGGATTGAAAAGAGACTGAGATAGATCATCATGAGGATATAAACTTGGTGGAAAAATCACTTGGGGATACACATGGGGATACGGCAATGGCTGAGGTAGATGAGATACAGTATATTATTCCCATTGCTGTTATACGTGAGGAATTACCTGAGCATACAGATGGTGCACAGGGCACTTGTTCAAAAATAATTGTGTTTGGGAAAGAACAAACTGATGATTTGGCTGATGTAAAATAGAATTTAACAGAGGTGGAAAACAATATTGTGGTGTTTGATGATAACTTGGAGAGTAACAATCCAAAGGGTGTCGAAATTAAAGGTGGGGGTAAGTTTTCTTGGCAGAGGAAAAAATTACAGGTTCCTTCATCGGATAGAGTGACTCGAGCCAGCAGTGTTTCACTGCCTTCTCCTTCTCAATGTTAGGAGCTTGGAATGGTAGAGGCCTCAATAGGTCTCCAATGCAGAAGGAAGTAAAACAATGGATAGCTGAAAATAAATTTGCTTTAGTGGTCCTTGTTGAAACTAGGGTTAAAGAGGGTAAGGCTAGTAGAATCCAGACTAAGTTATGCCCTCGATGGTCTTGGTTGGCTAATTATAAGTCTCATTATTTGGGAAAAGTGTGGTTTGGCTGGGATTCTTCTATGTTTGATGTGGTTTTACTTCAAGAAGATGCTCAGGCTATGTTATTTCAGGTTAAGCATAAAGTTTCTGGATGTTGTATCTTTATTAACGCTGTGTATGCTGCTAATAGAGCTATGGAGAAAAGCTTATTATGGAGGATGCTTAAGGTTCATGAAGCTATAGTTACGGGTCCATGGATTACTCTAGGTGATTGGAATGTGGTACGGGCTAATCATGAGAAGAAGGGAGGAAAACGTGTCTCTCAAAGTTTGTTAGATGAGTTTAATGGGGCTATTTATGACATTAAAATAGAAGATTTACCAATGAATAATGGTGATTGGTCTTGGTGTAATAAGCAGGGAGTTCAAACTAGAATTAATGCTAAATTGGATAGAGTTCTAGTTAATTCAGCTTGGTTGCATTCCTTTACTGACTTTAAAGTGTATTTAATTGCTGCTTCTCTGTCTGATCAGTATGGTATGGATGTTCATCTGAATTTTATGAGCTCTCTTGGACCTAAACCATTTAAGTTTCTTAAAATTTGGTGTATGCAAGAGGAGGTTAAGGAGGTGGTGGCTATAACTTAGAACATTGGTGTCTCTAGAAGTCCTTTACATGCTTTACAGAAAAAATTGAGAAGGTTAAAGAAGGCTGTGAAAGAATGGAATGGCAAGAGAGGAATGCTATCAGATCAAGTTCAAGCTGCTAGAGGGAATTTGATTAAAATCCAGATGGATCTGTTGAATGAGTCATTTAATTCAAATTTGATTAGTCAAGAAAAAAATGCCAGTGGTAATCTTCAACATCAGTTGGAGTTACAAGAAATATTGTGGGCTCAGAAGTCTAAGGTTAAGTGGCTAAAAGAGGGAGACAAATGTAGTTCATTTTTCCATAATTTGGTGAAGCAGAGAAGATGTCACAATGCTATTACAACCTTGGAGAATACCAAAGGGGATAAACCTATTGACCCTAAAGTTATTAAGGAGTGGTTAGTGGAATATTATACTGAGCTATACAATGATGTGGGAGGGGTGAATGAGGAAATTTTGGAGCCTAGAAAAAGGTTAACTCAAGCTGAAGGTATTGGTCTTGATCAAGAGTAATCGGAGGAATATTCTGACTAGGGGGTGCTGCTGTGTCACCCACTGGTGGCGGTGGTGCCAACTGAGCTAGCGTCGTTTGTAGAGCATTTTTCTGCTGTTGAAGCAAAGCGATCTGAGCTACGCTTGCTTCGTTTGCCTAACGAAGTACGTCAAATTGGTGCAGAAACTCTTCACGCATTTTTTGCATTAACTCCGTCTGTTGATCTGCTGAAGATCCTCCATTTGACATTCTGGACGGTTAGCTGTAGGATTCACTTGTAAAACAAAAATGAGAATGGGAATATATTTGCACACGTTTCCCACAGACGGCGCCAAAGTGTAGGTGCAAAATTTCGCTCAACCAATAACAATTGAGAAAAATAAAACAACTCACTCAAAAATAATAAGAATAAATAAGAACACTGTATAGAGAAGCGTAGAATTGCTTGATCCTTTCATTGGAGGTCTGGGCCTCTATTTATATACAAAAGTTAGAAGAATTATGGTAGGACTCGCGTTGCTTGTCCTCTAATTCTTTCCATATATCAATTTCTTTACAAATAGAATTCTTTCCTCTTTATAATTCTTCCCTTTCCGGATTTTCCTTACACAGAACTTATTCCTTTGATGAATCCTTTTCCTTGTAGGACCAGTTCCTCCTTTAAATGGATTTGGGGTCGCATCTAACTTGGTACACATGACTGCTGGTGTTTTGATTCGAGCTTTAGTAAAGCCTGTCGATAGTTTTGGGCTAATGACCAACTCAACTTGTGCTTCTGACGAAATGGGCTTTGACCTTTATTGGAGATAAAGTTAAATTTATGATGATGTGGATTGCTCTCATTGGAGGGAGATTTTTCCCTCCACAGAAGGAATTAGCATAAACCTTGCTTTCTTACACTCATTTGCCTTTCCTATTCACTAAATTAATTTTATGCTGCATGTCTATAGTATTACCAAACATGTTTTTTATTTACTGTTTGCAAAATTCAAGAAACAAATGAATGTTACCAACCACTGTTCTGTGTTTTGGAAACTTAAAACAAACACAAACATGTATAGATAAAAGTAGTAAATATTAAATACATAAACATAATCGTTACCAAACGGCCCCTTGAGTTTTCTATTATGAAAATAGCCTCCATATATAATAAAGTGGATGTTGGAACTGATTTACACTTTACCATGAAATTCAGATGCGATGTGGAGTCAAATATTAGCCTCCATATATATATGTGTGTGTGTGTGTGTAAAATTAGATACCGAGGTGGAAAGATTGTACCTTTAACTTTCCCTTGTATGAAGAAACATTAACAATCCTTGGTGAATCAGATAATTGAAGGAGAGGAATAAAAGCTTCAATCATTCTTTTTGGACCATAGTAGTTTACTTGCACGCACTCCTTTGCCAAATAATAATTGTGAGTCATTAATTCGTTGATTATTGCGATTTCTAGCTGCATCAGTGAAAAGAATCAATCTTCAGAACCCTACTATTTCCAAATTCACAGTTACATCAGAAGGAAAATGTAGTTATACTATGCCACTGAAAAATCATATTAGTTTTTATAGTACCATGCCATATATATGATAAAGTAACTATATATATTCTATATCATGCTGTGGCATTTTTCAAGTCAGAAAATATATTAACAACAACCAAATAATTACCTCTTAATACTTAAACAACCATTACATCATCTAACTGATGTAAGACAGAATACTCTTATACCAACTGATTGAGTACCAAAATATGAAACTAAGTGAATGTAGAATGGAAAGAAAGAAAGGGATGAGAAGATGAGGTGAGCTAGAAGAAGGAGATGGGAAGACAAATTTTGAAATCACGATAATATTACAATAATCCACAAACTGACTTGTTTCATTTCATAAACAAGCCCTCAAACAATAAAGTAATAAAATATCCATAAAATTTAAAAATTAACCCTAAATATTTATTTTGGCCCCTTCTTCAAAACTTCAACAAATGAAGCATTCACTAGATGCTAGAATTATAGTTGCATCATTCCAATTTCACCTTATATTTGCAGCAAAGCAATGAATCATATATAAAAGACTCACCTCACTTTCACCAATCCCTGAAGCTTTCAAAGCATCACCATGAAATATGAGTCCACTAACCCCAGCATTATTCACCTGCACAGAATTTTGAGCTCTCTCACTACTTGTTCCACAAAAATCAACGAGAATACAGTCAATAGACAAGACATAGATCCGATCAGAAATTTGAGGTCACTGTTGCATCAATAGGTAATCCGTAGTTCGCTTCAAGATCATTAAGAATCATGAAATGATGAGAAAAGATTATCTTAGTTTTAGTACATTCTACCATTTCCAGTCTCTCATCCTACCTGAATGTTTCAGATAAGTTGCATTCTTATAGAATTAAGGATATTTCATATGGTTCTCAAAGGTGCTGAAATTGGTCCTTCATACCTGGCTAATGAAAACAGAAACATAAATTTCTCAATTTTTGGTAGTTGATAAGAGTATGTTATACAACTTATCAAATCCTCGAATAATTCTTTAGAAGATAAATTGAGATGGAAATAAATGATAATAATAATAATAAATACATCAAAAACAGAAAAAATCAAGAATGGTTTGCTAGTTTACCAAGATATATAGCCTTCCAAATTAAGCCTTGATAAAAGCAGAAAGTGAAGCAATACTGATGGGTCCACCACATCAAGCTGATGAAAGACTGCCTGATGGGGTTCCACCTAATGGGGCACGACCCAATGAGGTTCAGCCGAATGAGGTTTAGCAGCAACGGAAGGCAAGATCCAAGGCTGCGGCTTCAGATAACGTCCCTCGTCGCACGCAGGATGAGCAGGTCGAATCCAGCCATAAGCTTACGGTGTGGTCCAATGGAATCCCAGATGGTGCAGGCGTTCAAGATGCCTTTGACGAGAAGAAACTCCTGAAGATTCAAACACCTGCCGAGATGGCTAGAGAACACAAAAATTCTTTAATCAAAACTCCTTTCACTGACGATGTGTATCTGGTAGAGAGGCCCAAGAAATTCACCATGCCTTCTTTCACCCAGTTTGATGGAACAGGGGATCCTTCTCGGCACCTAGATCATTATGCTCAAAAGATGGCTTTGGATGATCGTAATGACCCTTGGATGTGTAGAGTTTTTCCTACCAGTTTGACAGGAGTAGCACTAGAGTGGTTCAGGAATAGACCGCATAAATCCATCCCAGATTACGTAACTCTATGCACCATGTTCCTGGCACAGTATTGCGGAAATAAAAAGCAAAAGAAAAGCATTGCCAGCCTCTTCACCGTAAGGCAAAAAAGGGGGGAAACATTGCAGGATTTCTTATCAAGATTCAACATGGAGGCATCAGAAATAGCAGATTGTCATCCCGCAACTGCTATAGAAACATTTAAACTCGCAATAATTCAGGGGACGAAGTTCCACACTTCCCTAGTCAAGTATTCCCCTCCCGACATGCAGACTCTAAATGCCAGAGCCCAAATCTACATTCAGCTTGAAGAAAATATAGCCCACCGTGCACAGCACGCTACCCTCGTGACAGTGGAAAATAAGCCTCGAGAAAGAATCCTAACTCCAAAGATTCAAAAAAGCCAACGCTCCTCAATGCCAGTCACCTAGGCACCTGAAAAAAGGCAAAGGGTAGAAGAAGGATTTACACCTTTCCGAACTACCTTGGCTCGACTCTTCCAAGAGAATAAGGCAAAATTCACAACTTCACAGCCAATAAAACAACCCCTGGAGCAAAGGGACAAAAGCAAGCATTGCGCTCATCATCGAGATTATGGGCATTCAACAAACGATTGTCGATCCCTCAGACGACAGGTGGAGAATATGATCGCCAGAGGTGAGTTAACAGATTACCTCATGACAAAGGAGCATGCAAAGCCCCGCGAGGTCTATCCCCGCAAGGTACAAGGTACGTAAGTAAAAGTCATCCATGCAATACATGGCAGGTCTGAAAATGATCAAGAGTCCGAGGAAGTGTACAGATCCAGATTGAGGGCGACCCACAAGCTCAGGAAGATATCCTAGGTCAATGCTATCAATTCTAGTAGCATTAGTATTGGATTCAGAGATGACGACCTATCCAGAGTGTAACTCCCCCACGAGGATCCATTGGCCATCAGTCTTTTAGTGGCCAATTGTATGATCAGGAGGGTTTTAGTAGTTCCAGGAAGTAGCGCTAACATAATCACAAAGACGGTCTTTGATCAGTTAGAGATCACGTCGTCATCTATTCGACCTACCTCCAGCCCTTTGATGGGATTCGATGGCACAAGAGTAGATCCCCTTGGAGTAATAGACTTGTCCGTAACCACGGCAAAGAGGACTCTAAAGGAGAACTTTGTTTTAACAGAAATCCATCATTCTTACAATCTCATCATGGGAAGAGGTTGGATATATCGGATGAAAGGAGTTCCGTCCACCCTCCACCAGGTGATGTGGTGCTTATCTCCGGGCGGGAAAGAAGTAATTAATCTGTGGGGTGATCAGGTCGCAGCGAAAGAATGCTATATGCTGACACAACTTCAGGCGAAGAGGATGTCGACTCAACAGCAACCAGGTGAGGCTTCCAAAACTGGGCCCAAATAGCAATTACAGAGCCCACTGGCCAAGTATCTTAACGGAGAGGAGGAGGAAAAAATTGCGAAGCCCACCGAGGAGACCTTCGAAGCCGTGGAAGTTATCTTCGGCGACCCTCAGAAGGTTACTTATCTAGGCTCTTCTTCCACGTCTGAAGAAAAGAAGGCATTAATTGATGTTATCCGGAGCAATGTAGATGCCTTTGCATGGGATCACTCGGACATGGTAGGGATCAATCCCACAGTTTCCTGCCATAGCCTGAAGGTGGATCCGGAGTTCAAACCGGTCAAGCAGAAACACCGAAGGTTTATTCCTGAACGCAATCGCATTATAGCTGAAGAAGTAAACAAATTATTGCAAGCAGGTTTTATTTGAGAAGTACAATATCCGCATTGGTTGTCGAACGTGGTAGTCGTACAAAAGAAGAATGGAAAGTGGAGGGTTTGTGTAGATTATACCAACCTCAACAAAGCCCGCCCTAAAGATAGCTACCCTCTGCCCAAGATAGACTAGTTGGTTGATGCTACCACCGGCTACGAGAGGTTGACATTCCTAGATGCATACTCGGGATATAATCAGATTCCTATGGACCCCGAAGATGAAAAAAAAATGGCTTTTATTATATAAAAGGGGACTTATTGTTACAAGGTCATGCCCTTCGGACTAAAGAATGCTGGAGTTACTTATCAACGCCTTGTCAACAAGATATTTGACAATCTGCTGGGAAAGACAGTTGAAGCATATACAGATGACATGGTGGTTAAAAGTGTGAAGAAAGAAGATCGTCCGAAACATCTACAGGAAGTTTTCAATACTTTGAAGAAGTACAACATGAAGTTGAATCCATCTAAGTGCTCCTTCGCGGTATCATCAAGTCAATTCCTCGACCACATAGTGAATAAAAGAGGGATAGAGGTAAGTCCGGCTCAGGCTAAAGCCCTCATCCAGAATCAGGAACCAAAAAATCGCAAGGAGGTGCAGGTACTTACTGGTCGGATCGCAGCACTCAGCCGGTTTATATCCCGATTGTCAAATAAGTGCAAACCATTCTTCGATGCTATACGATCCAAGAATAAAGATATATGGGGACCTCAGCAATAGGAGGCCCTCAGTCGGTTGAAAGGTTACATGGCTGAACCACCCATTCTATCTGCTCCAAAACCCGGGGAGATTCTTATTATATACTTGGCGATTTCTAATACATCGACAAGTGCAGCATTGATTAGAAACGAAGGAAAGAGGCAATATCCAATCTTCTATACAAGTAAGACCATGACAGATGCGCAGACGCGATATAGTAAAGCAGAAAAAGTTATCTTAGCTTTGATCTACGCCAAGAGGAAGCTTCGGCATTATTTTGAATCTCATAGCATTGTGGTACTTACCAACTATCCTATACGGGGCATACTCTCTAAGCCTGATTTATCTGGGAGAATTACCAAGTGGGCTATCGAGCTTAGTTCATTCGACATAACTTATGAGCCAAAGGTGTCGCATAAAGGACAAGCTGTAGCGGATTTCCTTCTCGAGTCTGAAGATACTCCCGAAGAGCCAGCACACCCAGAACTACAGTGGGAACTTCGAGTCGATGGTTCCTCAAATCAAGCAAGTGCAGGAATAGGCGTTATAATGTCAACTCCCGAAGGCACCAAGCTGCAGCAATCTATCTGTTTGAAGTTCCCAGCTACGAACAATGAGGCCGAGTATGAGGCATTACTTGCTGGTTTTTGGTTGGCTAGCAGTCTCTAGGTACCTCATGTTGAGAATGCCGAAGCAGACCAATTGGCCACATCAGCGTCATCTTCAAATGAGGATCTGATTCGGATCGTGCCGATTGACGTTCTGGACGAGCCCAGCATTAATCCTCCGCAGGAAGTAATGGTAGTTCCAGTTATTCCTCGAGAACCATGCTAGATTGATCAATTGGAAGCTTCACTCAAGCATGGGGTTCTTCCAGACCAGAAGTCCGAAGTACGGAAGCTCAGTATCACCGCAGCTAAATATACCATCATTAACAATCAGTTATACCGAAAGTCATTTTCAAGTCCTTACCTGAAATGTTTAAGCCCTACTGAGGCTCTTGTGGTGTTGAGACAAATTCATGACGGAGATTGTGGTAACCATTCCGGGGGCAAATCCCTCGCACATAAAGTCCTGACTCAAGGTTACTTCTGGCCGTACCTGTCCCGGAATGCAGAAGAGTATACACGAATTTGTGACAAATGTCAACGTCACGACCCTATGAAGCATCAGCCTGCCGAAGATTTGCACGCAAGGGCAAATCCATGGCCATTTGCACAATGGGGGATTGATATGGTGGGCCCGTTACCCAAAACTGTGGAGCAAAAGGAGTACGTGCTACTGGCTACAGATTATTTCACTAAATGGGTAGAAGCCGAGGCCTACTCAAGTGTGACCCATGAGCAGGTAAAAAGTTTTCTTTGGAACACATCATTTGCCGGTTTGGGATCCCAAAAGTCATTATGATGGACAATGGTAAAAACCTCGATAATAGAAGTACAAGAAATTTTTTTGCTGAGCATGGAATTGTACAAAAGTTAGCTGCGGTTAGTCATCCACAAGGGAATGGACAGGCTGAAATAACTAATCGGACAATTTTCAGTTGTTTAAAGAAGAAATTGGAGAAACTCAAAATGTAATGGTACGAGAATCTCCCTCGGGTGCTTTGGGCGTACCGAACCACACCGTGGCGGCCTACGGGAGAGAGTCTCTTTGCCATG